GCATTACATTTAACATTAACTACATTAACTATTTGTACAGAACAACAAGTTGAAGTTGCATCTAAATTATTAGAAGATATGGCACCAAGAATATATTCAATACTAAATAATAAACCATTATTATTTGAATTATGTGGAATTAGTGCTATGGGAAATGAAGAAGCTACAAGAGTTATTTATATTAAAGTAAAAACAAATGATGAACAAATAAATAAAATTATTGAAGAAATTAAACAAACTTTTAATAAATATTTAGACAAACAAAGTCAAAGTGAAGTTATTCTTCATATGACGTTATTTAATACAAATAAATTAAAAAATGGAAAGTCTTTTGTTATTGATGCATCTGATATAGTTAGAAAATATACAGGTAAATCTTTTGGAAAATATAAAGCTGAATCTTTGGTATTCTCTTCAATGATTAATAAAATAATGGGAACTAAGTATGCTCTTATTAATTCTATTCCTCTTCCTTAATATTTATTTAATTGAGACAATTCTTGTCTTTTATTATTATCATCCATTTTTTATTTTAATTCTTTCTTTATCATATTCTTCTTATTCTATAACACTTACACATCACTTGTAATTATTTCATTGTACTAAAAACGATGAAACAATGATATATCATACTGAAGAAGAAATAACCCTAAAATAAAAATAAAAAAAAAACTTAAAAAAAGTAATGAGTAAAGAAAGTACAACACCAAAAGAAATCAATGAAAGAAAAATAGAAGAGAAATCACAGAAAGAAGAAAAGAAGATGAAAAAACAAAGATATAAAAAAGAAGAAGAAATTCTTGGAAATCCATTAGAAGAATATTTTGAGAAAGTTTCTAAAAATGTTGCACCATATAATCCAATAGGAAGAGCAGAAGAAGAAATTGAAGAAGGATTTTCACAAAAAAGTATATTTTATATTAATAAATTATTTGCTGATGCAGCACAAGAAAGAAATTATGGAAAAGTTATTTATTTATATAAAAAATTAATTGAAAGTGGTATTAAAGAAGATCTTCATACAATTACTAATATTATTAATTCAGCTGCTAGAGTTGGTGATGGAATTTTAGTTGATAAAACATGGATAAGAATGAAACAATTAGGATTAAAAGCAAATGAAGTTACAAGAACTGTTTCAGTTAAAGGATATTTTGCAGCTGGATTAGTTGAGAAAGCAATGTACACATATTATTGTATGGATAATAGAAATAATATTAGAAGTATTAATGCAGCAATTAGAGGATTATTAAGACTAGGAAATTCAAAACAAATTCATACATTTACAAAACATCCTATTAATGCAGAAGATATGACTACAAAAGAATATCTTACTGCATTGTATTCAATAGAACAAGAAATTTCATTAGTTAGAAAGATTATGGAAAGTATTAATAATGAAGATGAAATGTCAGCTACTTCTTTAATTAATTTAGCTACATTAAATTGTCTTATTGGAGATGTAGAAACAGGAGATTTATTATTAAAAGAATTTGAAGACATTTCTAAAAGAGAAACAGATGCTAGAAAATCAATTCGTTTATTTAAGAAACATCAAGTTGCTCAATTAAGAAATAGAAGAAAACACATTAGAACATTTATATTAAATACTCAACCTATTTTAAAAGAACAACGAAAGAAATATTCATTTAGTCAAGCAAAAGAAGTTTTTCAAATGTATCCTCGTGAAATTAATGTACTTCATTTTGAAGAAGTATTTAAAAATAAAAATCCAATTAATATTGAATTATGTAGTGGATATGGAGAATGGCTAATTACTAAAGCTGAAGAAAAAAAAGATGAAAATTGGGTTGGTGTTGAATTATATCGTGATCGTGTTTATAATTCTTGGGCTACTAAAATATTTGCTGGATTAGATAATGTTGCTTGTGTTTGGGGAGATGCAATGAATGTTTTAATGTTAAATATAATGGCAGATAGTATTGATAATATTTATTTAAATTTCCCAGAACCACCAAAATATGAAAATTCACCTACAAACTTGTTTACAATTCAATTCTTTTTCCAAGTTGCTCGTATACTCAAATTGGATGGAGTTTTTTGTTTATTAACTGATTCTCCTATTGTTGTTAATATTGTTAATAAACAATTCGCTCATAGTGAAATATTAAGAAATAAGTTCCAAATTCAAGGAAAAACTATGTTTGAAAAGAAACTCCCTGAAGGTTATGGTACTTCATATTTTGATCAATTATGGAAGAATGGTAAGATTAATCAAGACAGATTCTTTATGAAAATTAAAAAAATTATGTGATTGAATTAGATTCATTGATTGCTATTTAAATTATTCTGTTTCATATTATTATATTTCTTAATATATTCTTATCTAATCTCTTTCTTTATTTTATTAACAATTGTGTTATTATTCATTTGAAATAATTTGGTATTTTCATTTTTAAACATAATTGTATAGTTTTTTTTAAATACTTATTTACTGAAACATTACCAAGAATAATCCTAACTAAAACATGTTTTATTTGAATTGAGAAGATCTCAATGTAATTATTATCAACCACTAATCCTTTTAAATGACAGATTATATTTATTTATATGAATTTATTTAATATTGTAATTTGTAATTACATTAATTTTTATCCTATAACTTATTTGACTATCATTCTATAAGATACTGTATTATTTTCATTTATTCATATCCTTTTAAATCTAATTAAATGTATATTATTAAACTCATCAAAGTTAATATCCACGAAGTTTCATTTCATAATTAACATCTTTAATAACACTTTTGATTATTAGATTATCATAAGCATTAACATGAGAATTGAAAATAAAGTGCTAATGATTTGAATTATTCCATTGGTTAATTACAAAACTTTATTTTATATCTGATTTAATTAAAACAATAAAATGATATGGTATGATATTAAGAAACTAACATAATCAAATGAAATTCTTTTTGAACAAACAAATATATGTTAACTGAAATAACATATTTATTTAAATCCTCATTTTTTGAATTAAATAATCAATATATCTCTATATTATTAATTTACTTAATATAATTTAATCATTATAATTTGAATAGAATGGGGTTTACTTCTTTAT